TTGCTTTCACTCCTCATTCATTCCTGTCTTATTCACAGTTCCTCTCTTTCTCACTAACACTTTTTTTTGGACTTTTGTCATTGAGACGTCTGCTTTAGGGATACTAGACTCATGGCTCCAAAAAAGGCGAGCAGGGACAATTATCCATTTGATGTAAGTATGCTTAATATGTTTTGTTAATGAGAATTATTGCTCTACAGTGCATACCAAAAGAATTTACATGGTGTTGCCTTGTATATAGGTCTATAAAAATGTATGTAATACAGTTAATGTACTGTTTATGATTATGATTTTATATAGCCATCTGTCTTTGCATAGACTTTGTAAGTGTAGGTGTAATTTAGTGCTTATATGGTCTTGACAATAACACAAGTAGAAAAGCTCTTATTAACATTACTGCTGCATTATGAGCTAACATATGAGCTGTTTTCAAGGGCTTTATATAAATTGCGAATATGTAAACAAAGCCAATATATCTCCAAAATCTCTTATATAGGGTATCAGCTATTGCTGGGTATTTCTCATTCTTGTCTTCTGACATATATTTGGATTTGAAGTTGCTATCAGATTTTTATAGTTACGATAGATTGGTAGATGATAGAATGGCACAGAATTTATGACTTGCTGCTTGCTCAGTGTAAGTGGTGTTGTAATCCATATTGGCATGAGTCAGTACTATGGTAGGAATTCTGTTCCACGTTGTTGTTGTGTTGTTCATGCTTAAGTTAGTTTACGAGAACAGGAACTGTCATAGAATCTACTGCAGGCGTCAAGAGCAACAACTGCAAACAAGTTTTGGACTTAGAAATGGACTACTAATAAAGAAAAAGTGCACTATTGATATATTTTGTTTGACTTCAGTGGAGCTGATGAACATGTTTTTCCAGATGGAGAGAATTACATTAGTTTCTAATACGTTTTGTATACTAATTTGTATACTTATAGTTAACTTTTCCTACTAGCATGTCTAAGTATGTTTAGAGAGAAATACACCTGGTCTTGAGTATACTTACAGTTAACCTTTGGTACTAGACGTATACATAGAGAAAAAATATACTAACAGCTTACTTTTAGTATACTAAGTCTAAGTATACTTGGTGAGAAGTACACCTGGTGTCAAGTATACTTACAGTATGTTAGCATGTCTAAGTATACTTAGAGAGAAATATACCTGGCATTGAGTACACTGTACTTACAACTAACTATTGATACTAGTGTGTTGAAATGTACTTAGAGAAAATTATGCCTGCTGTCAAGTATATAAACAGCTTACTTTCAATATACTATAGAGAGACGTACTCCTGGTGTCAAATATACTTACAATTTTCTTTAGATCCTAGAAACTATAAACACAGAAAAGAATTGTCAAATATTTACAGTAATCCTGCTGTCAAGTATACTTGCAGTTTCTTTTTCATATACTTTGAGAAAAACACACTAAGTATACACTTAGTACAGATCAAATATACTTACAGTTTACTTTTGATACTAGCAAGTTCAAATGTACACTAGGTTTGGGGGGGCACGTTGGCTTAGTGGTTAGCACTGTTGCCTCACACCTCCGGGGTTGGGGGTTTAAATACTGCCTCCGCCCTGTGTGCATGGAGCTTGCATGTTCTCCCTGTGCTTCATGGGTTTCCCCTGGGTACTCTGGTTTCCTCCACCAGTCCAAAGACATGTGTTGTAGGCTGATTTCCAAATTGTCCACAGTGTATGAGTGTGTGTGCGATTGTGCCCTGCAACTGGTTTGCATCCCATCCAGGGTGTCTTCCATCTTATACCCTGAGTCTCCTGGAATAGGCTCCAGGCTCCCCAGAGACCCTGTGTGGGATAAGCGGTACAGAGGATGGATGGACACTAGTTTGTTTACTGTTAGATGCACTAGTAAAATGTGGTTATAAAACTTATTTCAGAATATAGTAAATGCTGAGTATACCTAGAGGAGACATCAATCCCTTTTACCCAAATTCCTAATACCTGGATTTTATGCTAGCTGTTTGGCCAACACTTTGTCTTTAAATGTGCTACATAAAAAAAAGAAATCATAAAACTGACTGGTGAATAAAAGTGGAAGAAATAATTTGTTTTAAAACCAGCTCTTGACTGGTGGAGCTTGAGAATGAATCCCAGTGATGACATAGTCTATAGTTTCTATAGTCTTGGTCTCTCTCACAACTAAAAGACACTTGATATGTTGTGCAGAAAGCACCATCACACACACCACGATCAATAGCCTTCATGTGATGGAAAGATGCCTATGAGGGTAAGTAAAAAAAAAACAAAAAACTTATGTGCATCATAATTTAGAAACATAGAGGAATCTGGACACTTGATAAGCACTGGAACACTTGCATTGAAGGTCATGGGGATTATGTAGGAAATGTGCTTTTACTATTTGCAATAAACAATGCGAAATTGAAGAAAGGTTTTCATTTGACTCAAATATTTTAGGTTGTTGCCTTTTTAAGTGAGCATAAGGTACTCAAATTAAAATGGATGTTACCTTTAAATAAATTCGTTAATAATTATATGGCTAGTATGTTAAAACCACTTTTACAATTACTTCATTTCTGTACATAAGTCTGGTTTTTAAGTATCTTTATCTCTATTTCCTACTCACCACATTTTCATACACTACATTTCTCTATAATCATATATTATCAGTAACGTCACAAGGTGACTTCTTAGCACCAGGGAGCTTTACAGGGTTGATCTAAATTCATAACAAATCTAAACTTTAACAGTTGTTATCTGTCACACTAATTTGTTCCTGCATACACTCGTATATTAAATTGTGTTTAATATTGTGTTTATTAGTGCAGTTTGTATTGTGGCAGCTATCTGTCAGCATTCAGCTAGTTTGCATTGTGCTAGCTAACACTTGAGAGATTAGGAATAAAGCTGATTTTAGTTAGTTAGTCTTAGCTAATGTTTTCCAATGCTCCTTGGTTCATTGATGAAATGGCCACTAATTTACAACCAGTAACTAAAATCAGTATGTGATTTGGAGAAGAATTTTGCCTATACTTTTCTATTTTGAGTGAATAATTTGAAGCTGTATTCCACCTTTATAGATGTAAGACATTTACATACAAATATCCCAGTTTAGTCCAGAGCAAGTATAGAACTAATACATCAATAGGTTTTAGAGTAGCAAATTTTATTTATATGTTCTTGTATATTTTATACGTACTTAATAGACTTCTAGTACACTTAAATTGTACTACCGCATACTTCAGGGATATTTTGAATACAGTTAGGAAAGTCTTACAGTCTTTCAGCTTACAGAAATTGTTTTTGCACTGAGTTCTGAGGGAAACCCTGTTAAAATCTGTTAATATCTGTTCTTTATAAACGTCTTTAAACTTTATACATGCCAGTGTTTAACTTTCCCAGCCTACTGCATTTAACTCATCAGTGAGACTCATGCTGCTAGTACATTTCAGAGCTGTTTGTGTCTAGTTTTCTTTTTCTTCTTTTTAAATGTGCATTAGATTTCTGCTCTACATTTTGTTTTGTGCTCTTTGCTTTTCATTGCTGTCTGTGCACCATTTGTGTCTTGGATGTTACTTCATGGTTTGCTTGGATTTTCTTTGCTTACTTAGAGTAACCCTAAAAGCTATTTGAATGAATCATCCTGCACCTGCCTTACAGTCATCAATATTTGTTAAAAGTGGACAAAATCTGTTAATAGCTAATTGCGCACTGATTGTGCATACCAGGCTGCACTTTGCCGATTAAAATAGGCTCTTAAATAAAAAAGTATAAATTGGACCAGTCTCTGGAACCATCAAGTTACAGCAATGTTGCAGCAGACTACCAAAAATTAATGAGCAATAGTATGTTAATGAACTTCCAATTCTCTCTCTCTCTCTCTCTCTCTCTCTCTCTCTCTCTCTGGGGATCTTTGCTCTCCAGGCTGACGGCATGGTAAATAATTTCTGTGGGTTGACTAATGAGCCAAACGCAAATGTATCAGAAGAGGACAGTAGAGACAAACTAGCTTATTGTGTAACTGACATACCACCATGGTACCTATGCATCATCCTGGGAATTCAGGTAAGTTCATGCCCTGTTCTCAAAAATGAGCAATTTCCTGTAGGTCCATTTCCTTGCCCATCCTAAAAAAGTAAATTTTTGGAGTAACTGATTAGATAAAGCATATTAAACTTTAAATAAGATCATTAAATCCTCTTGTTCAATGTTTCTCAGCACTTTCTGACTGCGTTTGGTGGAATCATTGCCATCCCGTTGATCCTGTCTCAGGGTCTGTGTCTGCAGCACGATGGACTCACTCAGAGCCACCTGATCAGCACCATCTTCTTTGTTTCAGGAATATGTACCTTACTACAGGTCACCCTGGGTGTCAGGTAGCCAACAGCTTTAAAAGCACCTTTCACCCATTCTGTTTCTGAAGAACCTAGGTGGCGGTCTTGGAAAACCCTGTCACATGTTGCTGTATGTGCATGTGTACGTTGCAAAAAATTTAGTTTTTCAGCTGATAATATATTATGACATCTATACTTTAAAGAAACCATCAATATATTTCATCAATATGACAGAGAAATGTTTCATAGACTTTGTGATATCTAAGATGTGGATGATCAAAATGATTACATATTTCCCATTCATTGTCAACATATTTCTATATCATATTTCTATAATATTAAATTCAATGCAAATGGAAACAATTCATAGTAGGCCTATTTGCGTTTAGTTATTCAATGCTGTGGAGTCTTTCAGTGGCATCAGAATGGAAGCTTTGCATGCAATTTTCTCCATTTTTACTTTTGGGGTAAACAGACTTTTAAAAGCTTTATTCTTTTTACTTCTGGTTGAGATACAAGCATAAGAGAAATGTGTTTCAATTCAGGAGAAATGAAAGCATACTTTTCACCAAATTTCACAATGTGTAAAGTTTTCTGAGGCTGCCACACATATATCATAAGCTGTCTTCTAGAAATGAAATATGGGTAGGTATACTGTCTACTAATATGCCGTCCTTGTTGGTATAGTGGACAGTATATCTGCCTGTCAAGCAGAAGATTGGGGTTCGAGTCCCCAATCTGGAGGCTCTTATAGGTCAGGGGTGGCTCACTGATAAATGCTGGGCTCCTTATATGGTTGGGGGTTCAAACCCCAGCAGCGCCAATCTGCCACTGTTACTCTATCGGCCCTTAACTCTATCTGCTCCTGAGGTGCTGTATCATGGCTGACCCTATGCTCTGACCCCAATCAACAACAAGCTGGGATATGCAAAGAAAATAATTTCACTGTACTATGTGGCATGGGAAGGCTTTCTTCTTTCTACTTCTACAGTGGATGGTGGAATTCCACAAATGAATTTGATTACAAGCTTGTGTATTAGTGTGAGAATATCTTTTACCTTTTACTAAAATCTTGAATTTTTGAAAATTTAGGCTTTGCTTTCTTTGGCTTAGTTAGGGTTTGATAATTTCATCTGGGGTGTGAGCATGCAACTTGAACTTTGAAATTACAATTTATATTGTGGGAGTTTATGAATAGACTCTGAACAAATGATGAAGATAAAAAGATTTTGCAGTGATCATGTGATGCATGAGTCATTATGAACTGACATGAACAATCATTTAGCATGGATGCTTCTTAATGAAGCTCTTTCAAACTTTGTTGTGTTAACTTTATTGCTCTCAGCGACAACCTTTTACAACCGAATTTCACCAGTGCTAGATTTGTGTTCTTCAGCTTCAGTTAAAATTATTTGATGCACTCCTTAAAGACCTTAGGCACTATTACACATTAGAAAAACAGTAACCCTTTGAATATTCATACAGCTGCTTTGTATGTTATAACCAATGAACGTCTTGTAAAATAATCTAAACTTTTAGTTTAAGAGTTCATTAATCTAAAATATCTGTGTGACAATGTCTTATCTTCCGTCTATTGAAGTCTGTTTTGAATTGCAGGTTGATGCTTGATTTAATAATCTGTCCTCCTTGCATATTCTACATTTTTGTTTTTGGAAAAATTAGGGTTAACAGTAAGTCCGAGGAGTAAAAATATGTGTGTGGTGGTACACTGATCATCTCAGAAACTGAAGACTTTAATAGGATTACATAGGAATTTAGAATTGTATGTCTAGGTTCAGCACACTTTAAATCCACATTCCACAGGCTTGTTCATGTTGGAACTTATCTCCATATCAGAGGAATGTGGATCTGAGTGAGGAACACTGACCACTGAACAGGATTTCTATGGGATGCCACGGTCACGAACAGCATGACAAAATAGGTGCTCCTTTGTTTCTAGAACTGCCCTGAGAAGGCAGACTTTTGAGAATCTCTCTAGTGCCACCCGGAGGTCTGTTAAGTCTTCTGAACTGGGAAGATCAGTATAAGAGTCCAGGCATTTTTCTGCTGGGGAGGCAGAAAAGCATGAGCTGAGTTTAGATTTAAATATTCTAGGCTATAAAAACAATCCAGTTCGTATGGGATCATTTTTGTATTAGCTCAGAAGATACATCAGCTCAAGAACCTTATTTGTGCCCGCAGACCCTGAACATCTTACAAACTGGACTTAATTAAATCTTATGTCATGAATCTATACAAAATATAGCATAATATTAATGTGGGTTTATTATTATTTTATTATTTTTATTTATTTTAGTTGCACACAGGACAACTCCATTCAAATAAGTATGTCTTCTGATGGTAGCTGGTTGTTCCAGAACTAATTTAGGGGTCTCACACACAAACTGGGTTAAACGTTTATGTAAAGATTATAAAAAGTTTTTTATTTGTAAATAATTTTGCAAACTATATTCATTTTTACCCCCACTTCAGTACGATAGGTTATTTTGTGTAGATTCATGATGTATAATCCGCTTAAGTCCATTTCAATTCCAGGATGTAACACTAAAAATGTGGTGGGGTGAATACTTATGCAAGGCACTGTATCTGGTTAGATAACGATCTGCACTTTGGACTGTAGGAGACTGAAAGCATTTTAAAAATGTTTTATTATTAAATCTTTTAATAACACCATGTGCAATGGTATTACACCATGTCCAACTATGTTTTTTTTTGAGTATTAAGTACTAGACTTGTTTAAGATCTCATGAGCATTAATAATGCACATGAGCTTAAATGTGAAGGAAGTGTTTTTTTTTTTTTTTTGTGGAACTCTCCTGTCTCAATGATAGGTTGCCTATTCTTCAAGGTGGGACGTTCAGTCTTCTTGCACCCACAACATCTTTGCTGTCCATGCCAGATTGGGTCTGTCCTGCCTGGACACAGAATGCCACCCTGGTCAACACATCCTCCCCTGAGTTCATCGAGGTCTGGCAAAGTCGCATACGGGTGGTGAGTGTTACAGCTGGACTGAAGAGATTAGGTAAAACTGATATTTGTGGTAAAGAAATAGGAACAACTGGCATTTATTCTTTTGTTGTCTTAACAGATCCAGGGTTCCATCATGGTGGGCTCCCTGTTCCAGGTGGTGGTGGGATTCTCTGGTCTTATTGGTCTGTTCATGCGGTTCATTGGTCCGCTGACAATTGCACCCACCATCTCTCTTATTGGCCTTTCTTTGTTTGACTCTGCTGGCGTGAATGCAGGAAGCCACTGGGGAATCTCAGCCATGTAGGTGCCAATTAGTGCAGATATTCACCTTCACTGAGAGTTGCATGAGTATAATGAGTATATATACTGTATTGAGTAGCAATATCATTTTAAACACACAGGATCATTAGTGTAATATAAACTACATGGCCAAAGGTTTGTGTCAGTTTTGTACACCTGACCATCACACCCATATGTGCTTTTTGAACATCCCATTCCAGATTTAGTCCCCCTTTGCTGTTATAATAACCTCTACTTTTCAAGGAAGGCTTTCCACTAGATTTTGGAGTGTGGCCTTGGGGATTTATGCTCATTCAGCCACAAGAGCATTAATGAGGTCAGGGACTGATGTTGGGAGATAAGGTCTGGGGTGCAGTCAGCATTCAAATTCATCTCAAAGATGTACAGTGGGGTGGAGGTCAGGGCTCTGTGCAGACCACTCGAGTTCTTCCACTCCAACCTTGGCAAACCATGTCTTCATGAGCTCGCTTTGTCATACTGGAGCAAGTTTGGACCCCTTAGTTCCAGTGAAGGGAAATTGTAATGCTACAGCATACAAAGATATTCCAACATTGTGGCAACAGTTTAGGGAAGACCCACATTTGCGTATGATGGTCAGGTGTCCACAAACCTTTGGCTATAGAGTGTATTTATGTGCAATAGCTAGAAGTGATGTCAAAAGTGAAATAACTCAAACATAACATTAATCTTCTTTCCACAGGACAACATGTTTAATTGTGCTGTTTTCCCAGTATCTCCGCCACATTGCCATCCCACTCCCTGCATACAGCAAGGCCAAAAAGTTTCACATCTCCAAGATGAACATCTTTCAGATTCTTCCTGTAAGCCTATAAATTCATTCGGCCAGAACATCATGGTGTGTTTAAATTAAAGCTTGCACATAAAGCACTGTCTCTTTGAACTTGTTCCACAGGTCCTCCTGGGAATCACTGTTTCATGGCTCATCTGCTACCTTCTGACTATCTATAATGTCCTGCCGTCTGATCCAATGCAGTATGGATATCTTGCTCGCACAGACATTAAAGTAGATGTAATGGGGAATGCACCTTGGTTCAGGTTTCCATATCCAGGTATTCAACCAGTATGTTGAAAAACCTTAAAGCCCCTGGCAACATGATTTCACATGAGCACTTACCACATAATTATATATATATATATATATATAAAACTACAATTTAATTATATTACTAAAAGCAACAAAACTCCACTTTTCTGCCTATGGGCATGTCAGACAACGATTTATCTGGTTGTCTCCCTGGAGCATTAAACTAACTGCTAGAAACTGCAGGTACTAGAAAAGAGCACACTGTCAGGTGGTAGATACAGATGCAGTTGCAGGTGCAGGTAAAAAAAACAAACAAAAAAACAGCTTTATTTATAAAACTTGCAGACAAATCCAAAATGTGAGACATAAACAAGGTCGAAGAACAGGCAATGGTCAGGGTTATACAAACAGCATAAACTGGGCTAGGCAAAAGGGCAAAAACATGAAAACCAGAACTAGATCCAAAACCCAGAACGATTATGACACAATGAACTGCTCAATAACAACTGGTATAAATAACACAGCATGTATACTTCACACTGAATAGAATGACTGTGAGTCCTTATGTACTGTCGTTGTGTATTTAAGTCCAGGTGATAGTGATCAGAAATCAGGTGAGTTGGGAAGTGTGTGCTGGGAGATTGAGTCCTTGACAGCCATGTTTATAGGCTGTGTGGTGTTATAGGTGTTGTAGTTGGATTCCGGCACTGATGTGACACATGAATGAAAGAGTGGTGCTTCTACTATGCTTTCTTACACACACACACACACACACACACACACACACACACACACACACATTACATGGGGTGTTGGTGTATTTTGTTCTTATTTCTAGCAGAACTTTTTGTGGCATGGTGCTCACAGAACATCTCAAAAATAAGGTTTGACGTTTGTGTGCATTCTGATACACAGAGCAGAAGCAGCACACTCTCATTTAATAAAGTAGATTAAAATGATCATTACAGCTCATTTAACTGCTAACTATCACATGGCAGCAAGTGACATACAGCATTTACCATTTATTGTCATGAGTTTTGTTGGTGAAGCGTGGCAAAGACCAGAATCATTTTTTTTGGCTCCCACTCTCGGGTGGAGCAACAGAAAAGCATTTACCCCATTGTCCAGAGATCTCGAATTTGAATTCAGATGGTGGCAAGAGACAAACTTGGCCATGTTTTTAGGGTAGAAGGGATGGCATACTCTCTCCCATGTCAGTCACAGTGACACTAGCCAATCGTGGGTGTCTGTGAGCTCATGTATGTGGAAGAGGCCTGATAGTGCTCCGTTTATAACATCATGGGATTTTTATTATATAACAGTGTTGCAGTTTGTGGTAAATTCACCACAGAAGCTATAGATGTTAACAGGAAGAAGACTAACTGAATGAAAATGAGTTAATAGGGGG